CCACCATAACCGCCGTGATATCCACCCCAAATAGCATCGCGACGCTGACGGGGCGCAGCTGCGACGAAGGCGAGGAAAGATAGCAGGATCACCTGGAAATTTCCAAAATGTAAGTCAAAATTGAATTTATTCTTTGAATTTTTATTGTTTTTTATCGACCTTTCAAAAACCAAACTAACTGATCATTACATCGAATTTATTTATAATATTATATTTATATTTATATTTTTATATTAATATTTTAAATATTATATTTATAATTCTTCGAGATTAATCAATTTATAAATTGTGTAAGAGACGCAACACAAGTTGGGAGGGATATAAAAATAAATTTTAATTCAGAAATCTTGGAGAAATAAAAAGGAGTCAATTTTTATCGAATCTGTGCTTGACTTTCGAAACGAGAATCAATATAAGTTCACACTAGTGTCTCTTCGTTACTTCCGGAGTCGAAACCACTTGTACCAATTCCGCGAGAAAATTCCTATCGGAATATTAATCTCCAATTTAAATTACTTCGAGCGATGAGAATCTTGGAAAGGTACCAGAGACTTAAAAAAAAAACTTTCATGGCGGGAAATTCACTATTCCATCGCGGAATACTTACGAGGGCCTTCATCTTCCCGATCGACCGATTGCTGAGTGTGCCCACGAACGATTTGATCCGACTTTATATACCGTTCTAGGATGCCCGACCGCGCCTCCGGTTGATCCCTTCAAATCATATCCGCTGATGGTGCAGCCTCAGCCATTGTGCAAGAAGGTCAGCATCCGGCACACCCACCCTTGGGACACGGGCCCCCTTGGCTGACCTTCAATCAGAATTGCGAAACTTCCACTCGGAATTCGTCCCATTTTTCACCGTTTTTTCTTCATCGATGCTCCTTTCTTGTTTCATCTTCTGATGGAATTCGACGAATAAAGTTCGAAAATGTATTCTATTTTATTTACTCTTGTATGCAAAGCTGTGCCATTTCACGAATTGGTTTGCTAAAATCCCTTTCGTTGAATAGACCGTAAATGAAAACGTTATGACAGTCGAAGAATAAAATATAATCTTGCTTCGATTCCTTTCCTTTCCATTTGTAAACGAGTAAAATTTTTATTTTCCAAATTTTTCAAAGTGAAACGTTCTCCCAAGAAACAAAAAAATAGGTAAAAAAAAAAAAATTTGTGCATCCTTTGAAACGACCGAGTAATAAACGGACGAAGATTGATTTCGTGGATCGATCGATTTACGACAAAACGTCCGTCCCTACTACGTTTAACGTTGCTGATGGAATAGATTTATCGTGTACCGCCCGTCATCGATCTCTTTTTACAGGGCGGAACTCGGTAAAGTTATGCAGAAAGGCCGTCTTTCGTCAAAATGGAACTTTCGGTATTCGCCTCGAGTCCCGCTTTGTGCCGAACGGGCAAAGTTCGATCGTTTCGTTGCGCGGTATAATGGGATCGGGCGTTTCTCCTGGCTATTCATGGGAACGTTTTCGTCCCCGGTAATCTCGAAATCGTTGCGATTCGAAGCTTCCACGCTTGCAAAACATTCGATCGATTTTCATTAAACGACGCCGAAGAGAAACGGAGTTAAGGAAGAAATATAATTATACACAAAGTGTCCATAAAAATCTAAATTATAAGAAATTTAATTTTAGTGGAATTTATACAGTGAAATATATTAATTAAATGCAAATGTAATAAATTTGTTATCAATTATTATATTAGAATTTCGTTTATACGAATTTATTGGAAGAGAGTTATAGAGTAATAAAAATAATACATTAATTGAATCATATTGCAAAAAATATTCGTACAAAACACGGAGTATAATGATAGCTTGGAATAAATTATTACAATTTCGCGTAATTTACAATAAATTTTATCGAATTACAATACAATGCAAATACTTTTCTCACTGTATATATTCGAGGATTGCAAAGAGAAAAAAAAAAAAGAAAAAAAAAATACAAGAGGAAAAACGTACTCTCCTCGGTGAAGATAAATGGCAGTGGTTGATACCGCCTTGCGTACGGAACAAAGGAATCGATTAGACGGACGTAAAAGAGATGTAATTAGCGTAATTTTCGATTTCTCCGGCGATAAAGGGGACGAATAACAGGTAACCGAGCAGGCGTGATCTTCGACCTACGGTATAATTGGCCTGAATGTTTCAAGCGTTTCCAACATTGTCCCTCGTAATTATCGACTTATTGCGTCAATTAGTCCTTTGCACTCCCCTTTGCCCCATACCAACACCGTAAATTAAGGAATAACGAGATTTTGCGAAACACCCTGTCGCATCTATCAAACTCGTATCGCCTCTTCAAATTCTTCGAATAACTCTTATAATTCATCCTTTAATAATCGATGCCTAGATCTCTTCGTAATTACATACTCGTTGCTCGTATTTGGATGCATGCCATTAGCAATGCCATTTGAATTTTCTTGAATGAAAATTCCAGTTACTTTTCTTACTTTCTTATGGAGTCGATAAATGATGAAACTCGTACATATCACTCGTACAATTAAAATCGAGAACAAAATCGTTTGTCTCTCGTCTGTCGAAAAATCGTGGGTGGATAACGGCGTCATCCTCGGTGAGGCAATCGATTGGCAACGAGTCGAGTAACATTATGGGTGAGAAAGAGTCACGTTCTCAGGGATTAATACGGTTTTTCCTTGGCTGTATACCGTGTCGAGTCGCGAACGTGACCTTTATTGGATGGTGGCCGAGGAAAAAGATGCGATCTTCGCTGCTCCAATTATCGCAATGGCGGATCGATACACGGTTCGCGTTACTCACGAATTGGTCCACCCTCGAATCGGTCCGCAGGCCACGATGCTTCCGCGCACAATGAAACGCTCGATTCGCCGTTTGATTCTTCGATTACCAGCGGCGTTCCATTATTGCACAGGTTTCCGCGGAGAACCGTGTGAAACTGTATCGACGCTTCTGTTTATTGTTGTTAAGATTGGCCGAACTAGGCTCACAGAGAACGTTTCGATGCTAATTGTTCCCCCTCCTCTTTTTGTTTGTAAACGTTAAGAAATATTCTCGTCGAGAATTTTAAATGAAATTGAAAATTCTTTGAATTTAATTCGTTTCTAATTAATTACGATTATTTTAATGATGAATTAAATCGTCGATGAATTTATTAATTTCTATATATTTAAACAAACTCAGTCGCAGTAGGTAGAAATATACATTTTATACGATGCAGATTTATTTAATGCATTTTTCTCACGATAAGCGATAAATAATGAAATTTAATATTACAAAAATACCGGTTGTGTAAGCTATTGTATTCATTATTTCATTTATTCTGTCACTAGTGTGCAATACTCGTAAACGTAAATATAAAATTTACGTAACTTGTTTATCGCTTGGAAATTTTTGCCATGCAAATTTCTCTATTAATTAATGCGTTATTTATACGCGAAAAATTATTCCTTGTTAAATAATTAAAATTCGTTTCTATCCTCTACAACTTTAATACTTTTTAATTAACTCTAAAAAATTCAATCAAAAAAATAAAAGCTACATCCGAATATTAATTCGAATTCATTGCGCATATCAAAGTATTTTTTTCTCTTTCTTCTTTTGTATCAGTTAAACATATACTACTGAGAATAGAGTTATCAGATAACGATCTGTCAACTGTGTTATAGAAACTGTATCAATTCCGAATAGATTGACAGATTTCGATTTCAATCGTGGCTCTTGAAATTTGTATCCTCGGTGGATAGAAGGAATGGGATTGAACGTGATCAATGCTAATGGTGGGACTGACATTTGCAGTCATTGTCTGCGCCGGGAGCAATGCATCGGGAATCTTATGAGAGCAGAGCAGCCTACTGTTCCGTTCCAACTCGATACACTGTCCGAATCGCTTCCAATTTAAGATCGTTCCGTGTGAAATTAAGTGAAAGATCAGAGCCGAAAGGTTATCGTACGAGATTCTCGCATCTTGTTTTATTTCTGTCATAATTTCCGTGACTGGATCGTATACTCTTAGAAAATTGACTCGACGTGAAAGTAAGAAGATTTCGATGAGAAAGAAATTTTTATTTTTTTACATATTTTTCGAGTATATGATTGAGAAGCAAGAATCGTTTATTACTTAATGGTAAAACGAACATATCTCCAAGATATCAGAATTTTCAGTTTATTCTCAACAATCGTCAAACGTTATTTCGTTGTTCAGTTTCCCATTTCAAATTCTGTATTAAAAAATTACAAATTAAAAAGCGAGATACGTGTATTATGAATTTAAGAGAACAAGGTCTATAAGGTGTTAATCGATTTTTTATTCTTTCATTTTAATTTATTGAGTTCGATTTCGAGAATTCAATCATCAACGACCTTGGCCGCAAAACCCGAGTGCAAGCAGAGATTCTTCTTCTGGGAACTCTGTAAGAATCGCACACCCCCGAGAGTGAAAGGACCACGCCTGATCGGTGCTATATCTTTTATCCGTTGGCGGGAATTACGAAACGATTCCCTGTGATTCAACGCTATTCTCTGTAATTTGAACGATGAAACTGCGAAATGAATCTCACATTCACCGAGTTCTATTTCATAATTTCTCCTCAGACTAAACCAAATATTTGCTGGTTTATCTATTGATCCTGCAGATTTGAAGATTTTACCATGAAAATCTGTGATCTGATTCTGATTTGTGAAAGAAAGATTCTCAATGGGCGATTCATTAAATAAAAATCCTGGGTTAACGAGGAAATGGAAACAAGGTTTACTGAATATTTTGAATAAATAATCTTGATCCCAATCTCGTTTGGAAGAAGATAAAAAAGTTGCTTTATCAATTTCATTCTGGAATCACTTTATATTCTTATTTTAATAAATATTCGAAAGTTTCTTTAATTCGTTTTATTTTTTCTCTTATTTTGTTCTTGTTCTGATGTTGCAAATAATTTAATTCAATATTTAAACTCGATAACAATTTGTTTTGATGTGATAAATCCATTTTTAAAACAGTATGCTGAATAATATATTATAAATGATACAAATTTAAAAGATATTCAAAGTAGATATTCTCTCTTTTCTTAAATCTATTTTCTTTTTGCAGCAATAAAAAAAAAATATAGAATTATATCTAAAAAAGTTGAAGGCACCTTATAAATATATTAAAAAATTATATCTAGTTATATTAATAATCGAAATATCTATTTCATATATATAAATACAATTTGTTTAAAATATAATACAGACAATGTCCGTTTCTACGTGGAAACTGAAATCTCTGACAGAGATTCATTATGTACTATGAACCGTGGCAAATACATGAATAGAGAGAAGACGCAGTAGGGCCTGTTTACAGCTTATCCAGATGCCTCATCTCTGAGGGATGATTCAACTGAGAGAGAATTCAACTGTCACATTGCACATTCTGTGATAACAATCAAACTCAATTGTTACACCAAAGCTAAGAAAATTGGCAATAACAATATCTCTTCCAAATATATCTTCCAAAAACCAATTAATATATCGTATCAATTTCAATAGAAATGCACAGCAAACGCGTAAAACTTCTCCTCTTAAAAATCTTATTTCCCTTTCCTTCCTTAAATTGTCCCATGTCCTCATGTATAAGACAGTTATGGGTCGTCGACGAAGAGATATCTCCTTCTCTCGAAGAAAGACTAGAAAAACGAAGTAGAAAAGATCGTGGAATATCTCCTCGCTTTTTACCTTTCTCCCCATCTTCGTCCAACAATTCCACCCTCCTATCAGAGCCCTCTGGATTCCAGGAGGCAGGGTTAACACGCATCCAATGGCTTTTATTTTATTCACGGTCAACTGCAGACCAACTGGAGGCCTGGTCCACCGAGACTCGTGCCGTTTGCGAGGCTGGAAGAGATTTAAAATCCTTTTTAACCCCGGTTAAAAACC